TCGCTGTGTTGTGCCGGACTCTCAATCAAACATTTAGGACAAACCCACTGGTCATGAAGATGCTCATCTAACGTTACATGGACTCTGCGTGAGGAAGAGGAGGAGGAAGAGGAGGAGGAGAAAACCAACCGGGTGTCTGGATGCTAAATGTTTATATTCTCATCCAACCACAATCACACTCACTGTCCGCATAGCGACGTTTATCTGGATTTATCTCGTTTTTTTGTCTTTGTGTTGTTGAACTGCGACAAGCCGGAAGTAACGAGGCTGTTTTTAAAATGTGAGGAGTAGAAAGTATCCCAGATTAAGGTGACAATTCTTAAATTTAAGTTAGTAACCAGACTTAAATTCTCATTTTAAGTAACTTAACCTTAAATTATTGTTTTTTTCATTGCTTGTTTTAGAAGAATTTGGGTTAATTTAAGATTTTCTGTCTAGTTTATTGTCTCATTTTAGTCTTTCAGAGCTAAGAATTTTTGGCTTATTTTAAGAAATCTTGTCAAGCAAAAAAAAGCTTACCCCATTGGCAGATTTTTTTGCTTGATATAGGATAATTTGATTGAATATAAGAATTTTTTGCTACTTTTTAGAAGGACAGTTTTTTTGGTGCAGGGCCTCAGGACTCAGTGAGCCGACCCCCCCTGACATGATGCTCATGGACTACAAAGTGTACAGCTTCTCCCGGAGTGGCCTGATGAGCTGCTCTCACACTCCCAATGATGCTGCAGGTGCCGGCTTTGTTATTTTTGGAGGGTGTGCTCCAGCATCTTCACGGGGGGGACGACTTTGGAGACAGACACATTGTCCTCTGCCGACGGCTCTACAGTGGATCATAGAAGGGAGACAGCAAAGAAAGGCACCCTCCAACAATGTGGAACCCTTCTGCTGTTAGGAAGGTGATGTCATGTTGCTCCTACTGGCTCCCTTTGCTCCACCAAACGCTGCAGCATCCAATATGGTGGCGAAGCTTCAGCTCTCACACAGGAAACCATATTGGGAGCACCATCAGTGACCACACACGTCACCTTATGATCGATTCCCCATTCCTCCATCAGGGAGGCTTTCACACGAGCTACATGTTCAGCAGTGTGTGATCGGGGGAAGCACTGAACCCAGTGTGGTTTTCTCCCCCACAAAGTGGCACCTTACAGCCAGGTAGGCATCCATACTGATGGATGTCCACATGTCAGAAGTAAGGCTAACAGCAGCCACCTTTTCCACTTTAGCCTTCTCCTTAGCTGACTCCTACTCAGCCTCCACCACGGCCTGCAGAGCCTAAAGGAAAACACATCTAGTGCTGAACTGTGAGACAATGAAGTACTCATGTGTTTCATGCACCCACACATACCTGCCTTGTAGGGAGAACATGATGAGGATCCAGTTTGGACACAAATGCCCTGAATCATCCACAATACTGAAGGGCTGCGTGTCCTTCGCTGTCATGGAGACGAGGCTTCATCCAGCTCTTGTTTTAAAAGAGAATGAATACAGTGTCTGTTACCTGTCTTTATTTGCACAATGAACAACAGTCAATAATTGTGTTTTTGTAATGTTGTAATGACTTACCTTGGCTGGGTGAAGCTCCAGTTTCCTCCTTATTCTCATGCAAGGCACGGTGAGGCCTCAGCATGGAGGAGGTGCTGTTATTGCACCCAAACTCCTCGGAGCACAATAAACACGTCACCTTTGAATCAAATAAGAAACTGAAAAATACAGTTCTTGATAAGCAAACCTAATGTGTCTGAAATAGAGTGAGATTCAGCTCACCTTATTAGGAGTGATCTAATCACAGAGGAAGTCCTCCTCTTCCTAGCTGGCTCCATCTTATCACCTGTCCTTCTCTCCTCACTCTCAACTATCTCTCTCTAAACTCTCCAAACGATGTAAACTATCCGAACCATCCAAACTCTAACTGACCAACTCTCCACCAACAACCCACATCTTGAATGGAGCCTGAGGGGTTTATACATGGAAGTAAATCTGAAGCCCTTCCCGAAGCGTCACGTGGTCCCGCCGGGCAGCGAGGCTTCGGACGCCATCATTTATGGCTCCTCCCCTAAATGAAGCGAGCCTCGGTACGCGCTGCGAGGACACGCCCCCTCAGTCACTCGACACGCGCGAGGCGTCGGCACATCTGGTAACGTCACTAATTTTGAGTATTAAAGTCTTTTTGTTTTCAAGCTCTGCGTCTGGGTGCTGCCTCTGCCTTCCCCCATCACCAACTGAGTAATACATGAACATATAAAAACATATAGATTATTAGTGTTAAACATAAATACCACAAACACGTAAACAGAATTACTTGTCAGTTGTAAAAAGGTCACAGCAGCTATATAATAAATAGCTGCTGTGACCTTTGACAGATAATATGAGGACTTTGGAAATGTGAAAAAAGACGTTCATGCCCCAACAAAATGGTCCATGTTGAATTTTGTGGCTCCTCCATCTGTTTTTTCAAATAAAGAAACAAAAACATAATTCAAGTAAGCAGATGGCTCCATCAGCTAACAACAAATGAAACGTACAACCATATTTTTTAGAGCAATGCAAATAAAGTTATACCTCTCCATAAAATAATTCACTCTGAATGGTCATTTGCATATTCCAGAAGGCCTCACTGACTCTCCACGTTCCACCTTCCGTGTTCTAACTTCCATGTCCATGTTCCGTTCTCCACAGCTTAAGAACACTCGCGGGTCAGGTAGTTAGCAGCCTTGGAACTGCACACAGGTTTTTTGCAGTGGCCGAACATTGAGAAAAGGCCACAATGACTCTGTGGCCCTAAAAGGACTCGAGGTAAGTGGGGAATCCAGACAGACGTCTGCATTAACTGGTGTTGGTGGTTTACTGGACTTGTCAGGTGGAGAAGTGGGTACCTGGAGATAAACCTCTGATTCACGCTGTTGGGACCTTTTTCTTACGGTGTCTTTTGTGTCTGAGCCGTGAAAGGATGAAATAAGACCATTTAACGCAGCCGGTGGCTTTAGTTCACTACAAATGTTCCCTTCTGTTTTTCCTCGTGTGTAGATGACGATGAAAGCTCTTGGGACAAAACGTCCTCATCCAAAGGGCGCATCCCAAAGAAGAGGGTCCGACGCCGTCAGAGACTTGACACCGGCGTCAGAGCGCCATTGCTCGCCCGATACGAAAGGCCCGAAAGCTCCGGGCAGCGTGTCAGCGTGACTCGAGCAATGAGGAAAGACCAAGAGGAAAGGAAGCACAATCAGAGGAGGCGAGAAGAGGATTAGCGTTTTGTTTACGCTAATTGTAGCCTTGGCTATTTTGGTGTTCTCCTAGTCCGGTAGTAGTTAAGCGCTATTTGGTGACTCTCTGGTGGGTCTTGTGCTTTCTGTACTTCGGGTAAAGGTTTGTATATATATATATATGTATTGTTTGTATATATTAGTATGTATATGATGCACAAAGGTGCAGAAAGACATAGATAAGTGTGTGTTCCACTTCTTGTTAATGTACCGAGAATTGAAATACACAAACAAGGACACAAGTCAAACCTGAAAACAATAGTTTTATTCATATAGGAATCCATGTGTTTATTAGATGATTTATTGGTTCAACTTTTCATAATCAGAGATTGGGCCAAAATATACTGGTGGGCTGTTCGATACATTTGCACTACAAGTTTTCAACAGCAGACGTCATCATAGAGTTTGAGATGCATTGAATGAATGAACCTTTTTACGATACGATTGGCTGGAAAGCTTCACTGCTTCATAAAGCTTCATAAAGCTTCATGAAGCTTCATAAAGCTTCATCTGGCTTCATCTGGGCGTCACTAGTAAACAGCAGAATCAGAGGAACTGAAGTCACACAGAAAGAACTACAGAACAGGAGTTTGCTGGACAACACGAGCAGAGCTACTGAGCCACGTTACCACGTAGGAGTATTAACAAGGTGCCACTGGAGAGGTGAACAGCCCGGCTCTAAATACTGCAGGGGTGGATCATGGAATGTGGATCAGCTGTGTAGGAATGGAGCAGGATGAACGGCCACGCCTCCTCACCTGCTTCCTCTAGACACGCCCCTTTTCTCTTCTGGTTGATGCTTCAGCAAAACCAGAGCTACAAGACAAAGAGTTTGGCGGCAAATCCGGTTGATGCGCGTGAATCAAACATCGTGGACGTGAACTTCCTCGCTCGCGAGGTTAGTCTCGCATTTTACGGTTAGCGCTCGCTGTTGTTGTTATTGACAGCAAGGGGGCGGAGCCAGTCACCGGCATCTCCACGTCTGATTGGTTCCACTTTTCGTCCTTGGATTGGCTGGATTTCGTCCCTGTTGACCGTTGTGAATCCCCAGAACTGATGGAGCAGGATGAACGGATCGGATTAACGGTACCTGAGGTGTGCAAGTGGTACATGAAGACAGACAATGTCCCTCTCTGTCTTCTTCACAAATGGCTGTGGAAACCCCTCACGTGAGATCTATGTCACTTCCGTTTTACTTTCACTATGAGTCATTGCTGTAAATCACCGTTAGCTGAGTAGCACATTAGCTGCCATTAGATAGCTGGTATCAGCGTTTTCTGTTAACAACCTTTAAAAAACACTGCAGAGTCCAATCAAAGTTCTGATGAGATAATAATAATAATAATAATGCTATGATGTCATAACTGAATAAACTCATCATAGGAAAATATTTAAAATTTAGCTAAATATCTACTGAATTAAACTTTCTTTACAAATACATGTAATATTAAAAGCAGCATCAAGGGTTTGCAGTCAAAATGATTCAGTTTTGATTTGACACAAGATTGAAAGAACTATCTTCACATGTTGTTGTTTTTATAAGCTAATATCCCCCACAACACGCTAGAGAGACGTTTTACAGCAGTCAATGAATATCTTTTTCCTAAAGTGGACATCATGGTTCTCCACAGCATGTCCTCCGGCCTCAAACGTTGGAGCGTCTCCTGTCAAAACTGGAGCTCGCACTCATTCCAACACACTCCATATGGATTTCCTGCAGGAGGAAAAGACGACTTGTCAACAAGGCCAAAGTGATGGTGATCAGGATGCTCGGCCTGCGCTTAGTGCTCCTAATGGCCTTTGGCACGTTTCACTGCGCCCAAAGGAAAGCCACCAATCAGAGCCTGGAGTCTCCAACACAGCTGTCAATCACTGCCAGTGACACGCTGACAATCAAACCGTCTGATCTAAACGTCCTATTAGCTGTTTCAGAGGCATGTTTCAGCTACTGATTAGCAGTAAAACATGTTGGGACAGAAAGCAGTCGAGCCAGGACGTGTCTCCTTGTGGACGTGTAGATTATGTCTCGTGTTCTACAGTCAAGAGACAGTGAGACGTTTCATTGAAGTCACTAAATGTTGCTTTAAAGCCGTCATCACAAAGACATAGTTTCACTTTGTGTGTTTGTCTTGAAGGACACGCTACATCCAGACGGAGGAAGATGAAGCAGGTAAACGGCTACAAATAGAACACGATGAAGCTGAGTAACACACACACACTGAAACACAGAGCATCTCACCAATGGTGAAGCTGAAGCGTCCGTGCAGAAAGTAGCACTGCCGCCCTTTTTAAACGCCTGTTTGTTGGACGTTGGTCGTGTCGTTGGGCTCCTGATGTGCACGGTGTCCCTCAGTGGGTGAGGGGGGGCCGTTCTCTCTGTGCTGCTGTGGACGGGTGTTCAGGGTAAACGCCGCCCTTTTCCTCTTTGCTCTTCGCCCCTCGAGGCTCCAACAACTCTGATCTGCTCCATTGAGACACTTTCATGTCTGATATTTATATTTACTGTGAATTAGTTTCCTCTGCTGCTCCGTCACACACAGCGTTTCTATTTGAAATGAGAAGCAAACAAAAGCGTGATAGTTAAACACCCGACAGTCAAGAAGCGTATTCAAATGTTTCAGAGCAGCTGACGTCATCGAGGCAGCTGCTGTCCCATGAAATGAGCGTCCTCTGTTGTCCCCGTGAGTCAGGACCCCCGAGTCTGTTCTCCCCAGAACGCAAGTCCGTCCTCTGCGTCCCATCGTTGAGAAAGGGCCCCACGTTGGGAGGTTAATACGAGCAGCGTGGAGATCAGGACCTTCAGCTGCTTCCACGTGTCGTCCAGTCAACAGGGGACACGAGGACAGAGGTCCCTCATGATGCAGCTGTGGACAGTCTTCTCGTATGTTTCTGTTGCTGCTTATTACCCGTCCATGACCAGCCGTTCTCCTGAAGCTTCCCCTGGACCGAGGCGCTAATGGAACCACTGAGCTCCACCACCGGGGCTCCCTGAAGACCTTTACTGGTGCTCTGAGTTCTCTCCGTTCTTCCTGCTGCAGGAACGTCTCCGCGCCCCTCAGCTGCTGTTCATACAGCTGTCAATCATGTTGAATGACACGTGAATGAAGGCGGCACGATGCAGCGCGCTGAGGCCATGCAGAGAAGCTCAAGTAGCGGTGAGCCTTGTAGTGACGTCATTGTCTTAACTCAGGTAGTGACGTGATGTCACCTGTCAATCACAGGTCAGTGGAGCCACGATAATGAAGTAACTGTTGTTCTTTGGTGACTAAAGAGCCTCTTCTTGTTCACAACAACGGGTTCAGTCATCGAGCAGCAGCACATGTGGGATTAGTTCACTTCCTGCTTGT